GCTTGCTGAGCGGCCCGGAGCCAGCGGGCTTCCCTGGGCGGAGTCACAGGTCCCAGCCCAGTGGCAGGGCCTGAGCAGCCATGTTTTCCTGCCCCATCCTTAGCCGGGAAGCAGCACGGAAAACTGTCACTTTCCATGTGTCTCATAACAAAAACATGTCAGGATGAAATTCACACCTGACTGCATGGAGCACTGGCCGTGACCACCAGGTGGCAGCACGGACCCGCCGTCTGAGGGGCTGGGGGCTGGGCTGCCACAGAACAAGGGGGGCTTCTGCCCTGGGGAGGTGACTGGTAGCCCTGCCGGCTCTGACTACTGACGGTGCAAGGCAGAGAGGAAGACGAGCAAGGCCCACAGTGTGTCCTGCAGCCGCCCCAACTCTCCGCACCCCACCCAGGGTCCCCGTCTCCCAGGGTCCCCGTCACCCACGGTCTGCGTCACCCACGCTCCCCATCACCCAGGGTCCCCGTCTCCCAGGGTCCCCGTCACCCACGGTCTGCGTCACCCACGCTCCCCATCACCCAGGGTCCCCGTCTCCCAGGGTCCCCGTCACCCACGGTCTGCGTCACCCACGCTCCCCATCACCCAGGGTCCCCGTCTCCCAGGGTCCCCGTCACCCACGGTCTGCGTCACCCACGCTCCCCATCACCCAGGGTCCCCGTCTCCCAGGGTCCCCGTCACCCACGGTCTGCGTCACCCACGCTCCCCATCACCCAGGGTCCCCGTCTCCCAGGGTCCCCGTCACCCACGCTCCCCGTCACCCAGGGTCCCACAGAGCTGGGCCAGAGGGAGCCTATTGGGAAACCATCTCCATTTCAAACGAACAAACACTTCCTATGTGTCAGGCAGTCGTGGGGGGGGGACGGGGTTCAGGGACATTTCACCCCGAGCCAGCAGCCGCCTCAGATCCCTCTGGAAGGGGAGACCAAGGTCCGAGGCCCGAGCGGGGCTGCCGGGGAGCACCCTGCTCAGACGGGTCCTGCCTCCCAGAGGCGACGGGCGTGCCAGCCAGGAGGCCCCTGTCCTGCGGTGGAGGGAGCCCTGCTGCCTGGTCTGGGTTCAGCCAGTGGCTGGTTCACAGGAGCACGGGGCCATCACCCCGCAGGTGCAGTGTCCTCGGCTGCCCCGTGATCACCCCCTGCAGACGCCCACGTGCCCACGAGAAGCCCGTAAATCAGGGGTCACCCAGCGACTGCAAGTCAGGAAACGGGGGAACCACCCTCCAGGAGCAGCCTCTGGGTGGTTGCCCCTCAGAGGGACAAAGCCGGGCCCCATCGGGACGGAGGCGAGCTCCGCGGGCCTGCCCGGCAGCGGTGACAGGCAGCGTGGATGGCCCAGGAGCCTGCGGCGACCTCCTCGGGCCTGGACTCGACACTCCACGCTGTCCTTGGCCACGGTCACCGTCTTGAACGCAGAACCGACTCCTCGCTGGGGACCGTGCCAGCAGTGCCCGTGGCCACGGAAAACTGACACACACTTCAGACAAGGAGCTGAACAGCCCGCGCTCCGCTGGGCCTGGCTTCCGACTAAGAGACAGGAAGTGCCCCTGTGGGGCTGGCGGCTGCTGCCGGGGAACAGGGACAAAGGTCTGGACAGGGCTGCAGGGGAGGGGGCTCTGCGCCCCACTTGCTCCTGCCAGGCTGGCAGCCCGCGGGGCTCAAGAGCAGCCAGCAGGGGGTGCCCTGCGCTGGCACAAAACCCAGCCTCGCAAACATCAGCGCCTCAAGGTCATTGCCCAAGTCACTATCCTCAAGGTCATGACTTCCAAGTACCAAAGCAAGTCTCACCAGCAATCACTGGCCAGGGCAGCCAGTCCTAGGGAATTCCGAGCTTATGCCTTGCTGGGCCAGGCCGTGGGGTCCAACCTGCCTGGGGCACCCGGGGGCCAGCGGCCTCCTGCACACTGAGAGGTGGTGACAGGGACGCCCTCACCCCCTGAGGGGCTCCAGGCCGGAGCTCCTGAGACAGCAGGCCGGTGGCCGGTGCCGCACACTTCCCAGCGAGCAGTGTAGTTCTGGAGCGGGAGCAGGCCTGTCTCCCACCCCGCCGCTGCAGGAAGGGGACAAGGTGTACAGGGCTGTGGGCCAAGGCTGCTCCCAACACTGCGTACGGGGTGCAGGCGCTGGGCAAAGAGAGGGGCACGCCGTGTTGCAAAGCCTGCGCCTGCCTGCAGCCCCCAGGTGCTCCCAACATCAAGTGAACGGCCCAGGGAGCCCTTTCCAAATGGGTCGGGCCTCCGGAG